ACGGTGGTCGTATACGACCAGTCCCCAAGTGCCATACGACCACACGGTGGTCGTATACCACCAGGCCCGAAGTGCCATACGACCTCTCCGTGGTCGTGGCAGTCTCTGCCGGGCTCTTGGGCAATGTTAGGCGCTTAAATGCCACACGACCACACCAGAGGTCGTTCACTTTTTGGCACCCTTGTGCCGCACGACCACCGTGAGGTCGGACACTTTTTAAATTAAAAATGGCCTGGCACTGAACGTGTTAAGGTGTCAGCTTGCTTTTACTCTCGGCAAGGACAGAGAACCAAGTGGAGTACAGAAACTGATTTCTTTGGCGCTGGGGAAATGGTGTTCGAGTGAGTGGCTTGCTGAGGTTCGCTCCAGGCCCCTTCCCTCCTACCTCGACCCTATTCATAAATGTGTTGTGTATCATCTGCTTTCAAGATCGATTTTTGATTGAGATTTTTCTGCCACGTTAAATTTGTCACAGTCGCAAAGAACGACGATGGAGTTTTGTTGAACACACTCCCATTTCAGCTAGACCTGAGCTTGGGGACGTATGGAGGGCCGGGCCTGCAGGGGCAGGGCACTCTTCTCGGATTGGCAGCCGGGCTTGACTGCGAAGCAGAGGAGCCAGAGAGAGGAGAGGGGGCCGGGGGGGGGGGGGGGGATGGGTCGGCCACTTTGGCCTGTTATGAGATGAAACTTTTACATCAGCGGGACAGATCACGCGGCGGCGACTGGAGGATGGGGCGTACGTGTGAGTGTGACAGAGAGAGATGGCGGGAGGAAGGGGTGGGGACGCCTTGCGACGGTCCCCATTACATACAATCCTCAGAGCTGCCCCCCCCCCTCCCCAAGCGTCACACACTGGACACTGGACCAAACCCATCTCTCTTGGCCGCTGCCAGCGACGCGTCCATGCGTTCGTGATGGGGCTGTGTAGGGCCGCATTACGCCCCAAAAGTTGCCTCCCGCCGCCACTAGTCCGCCCGCCGACCACCCTGAGCGTAGGCGGGGTGTAGGGGGGGGGGGCACACGAAACGTTTCGTATTTGCAGACTTGTGCATACGGCAAAACCTGTTCACACGACATAACAATATTATTTTAAAGATAAATGTGATGACAGATTTATTTTCTTTTTTGGTCTATTTTCGTTCAATTTGTCTGTTTTTTCCCTTTTAATCCGTCTCGACCTAAAAGGCCTTTGCCTTTAGCTAATTATAACACATAATATTGAGACGGGCACACGAGCCGTAATTTGAACTACGGGCGGGAGGACAAATGATGACGTCACGATTCGGCGACCAATCAGATCGCGAGGGGTCTACTGCCACAACCTACTGTATAACCTTGGTTGGTTAGGGCAAGTCTAAAAGCCACTTGTTTTTCGATTCCGAATGACAACGCCTGCGGAGCGTCGGGTAGGCCTTCCCGCCAAGTGTCTGTCTAGAGATAGTGGCCTACCCTTAGCGCCTGAGCGGCGATACCCCCTGCTATCCGCCTGCTCTCGACAACATAGGTGGACGCACATACCCTGCAACGAGACTATATACTGCGGGCAACACTGTCGGTGTAAAAGAGTTCGTTTCGTTAGGCTTGTGGTTGTTTCTGACTTCGCGCAGGTAAGATACTGCTTGTTATTTTCTATTTGTTCTGGTTCGTCTTTGCAAATTATAGATTTTACAACATAGTGTCATAGCGACACCTCTATGCGTAGAACGCAAACGTGATAAGTCTCATCCACAAACTCATCTACATAACCTCATTTTGAATTTACTACCTTGTGACAAACTTTTTTTTGACATTTCTCTACGTCATATTTAAATGAATGTCTAAAATTTCTTCTGTTTCACTTTTATCGGGCTGTTGGTATTTGGTGTCTAACCATAGAGAGAATGAAAACTCGCAAAGTACCAGTGCTCAAAATGAT